GGAGTTGTATCCGCGCGCGCGCTCACTCGGGGTGATTCCAGATGGCCGGTCCACCGCTATTTATCCGGGTGGGAAGCGTAATGGCGGACGTACAATCTTGTTACTGCGCCGCGGTGATATGGGCCGGGCCATGGTGATTCAATAATTCAGCACCACGCTCCGCCGCCGGCGCTATTTCGTATCTCGTGAGTACTGACCTATATGTGTATATGCGGGGGAGGGGGGAGGGAGGGAAGGAGAGTGGTCTACAAATGAGGGACGCGACGGGACACGGTGAGGTTCAGGGTAGACACCTCGTCCATTCGACCAACATCGTCGCCCACATCCAAGTTACCCGGGGTTACGCGGGACCTCCGGGATCTCTGTGGGAAGCGTTTACCTTCGACCCCCGTTGAAAGCGCATAACCTCGACCGAGGCTCGCGCGAGAACAATGAGAGAGTCTATCCTCGCCGTGAAACAATGACGAAACGCGCTCCGGTTAACCCCCGAACTGGAGATCGCGTCGAACCGCACAGATCTCTGGCGCTCTCTCTCTCTCTCTCTCTCTCTCATTCTCTCTCTCTCGGGCCCTTTGTCCTGTAATTGTTCGCCCGGCGGCGATAAGGCGTATCAAATGACGGGAAAGGAACTTGGGCGCTGCGATATCGAGCCCCTCGATCCCACGTCGCAATGAACGTTATACGTACACGATCGTAATACGTTTTAATGGTCGTATCTGCTGGCCGCGCGTGATGAGGAGATAATGGTCGCCAATGGCGGAGACACGGTTGTCTCGACGTTATATATCACCGACGATGGGATAAATGTGGCGGAAGAATCGTCGCGCGGCGGAAGTCGCGTCGGCGGCGCGGCGGCTCCGCCGGGCTCATTCATAGCGAAGATTCCATCTCCGCAAACCGCCATTAAGTGTTCCGGTATTTAATGTAACTCAGGTTCTTATCCGGCAGCATCCTCCGGCCGCTGGAGCTGTGATTCGTTCTTCGACAAGAGATTTCCTCTGGGCCTCGATACCCCGGAATGAAAGTTAATCCCGACCGGTAGACATTGCAATCAATCTTGGAACGTGCGTCATACCTGCGCGAGGGACCTGCCTTCATATCCCGTCCACGTTCCTCATATCGATCCTATCCTGCTCGTCAAACTGGTCCACAAATTTTCGAACACTCGGTACGTGGAGGGCGTTATTTCAGTGTTATTGGAGGGCCGAAAGACGCTACGAGAGAGAGAGAGAGAGAGAGAGAGAGAGATTGCAGCGACCTCGTTGCAACCTTTGAAGGACGCCTCCTAGTCGACGGCGGTCCTCGAGAAATCCTGCCTTCGGGGCAACAAAGGATTTGGGATAATCCCGAAATCCTCGAGGTGTATACCAGCGTGTATGGCGCTAAAACGGAATCGCGCGGCGGAGCCAAAAAAGAATTGATGCTCGGAATCGGTTCTTCTCGCAACTCTGCGGCGCTGCGCGTGTATGTATATGTATAATCCCACAGAATGACGAATCGATCAAACGCGCGTGTATTGTTTTTCCACCGGTATCGTAAAACCGTATTGGTCTGTCGTGTTAGCACCTTAATGTCTTATATGGGATACGCTGGGTAGAATCTATCGGATTTTGCATTATTCATGTAACTGCGTTGTTTCAAATAGCCGGCATTATGAATTTACGAGCGCGTCAGGTTTTATATCATCGCGACTATAAATCTGTGATCTTTAAATCAACGTACCAATACGTCATGTATTTAAGTCACATATAATACGTGAATTTTAATATATCTATTATTATATTATCAATTACAATAGTAATATGCTTATCGCTATTTAAAGTTTTCTTACATACTTAAAATAATCAATACTATTTTAACCAAATTACACGTTAAATTTCGAGCGGACGTCCAGTTTGATTGACTCAACTTTTTTTTTTTTTCAATTGACCTGTGTCGTTTTTCGTCAGTTGGAGACTAACCGAATTCGCGATTTTATCTCTTGCAGTTTCGCGGTTACTCGCGCGCGCACTATTTTGAATCAAAATTGCAAATTACAATTGAAGTACTCATTCAATCCGATCAGTTCGACATTTTTCCCAGCAACTGACTCTCCATACGGCATTTCGTTTTTTGCCAATTGGCAAAATTGGATAATCGAATTCGCTTTTTTATCGATTATCTCTCGAAGTTTCGTGTTTACACGCTTTCGTAGTTGGCAACGCAGTTTTTTTTTCCCGAAAACATTGAAAGAGATCGAAATGCAATTATCGCGTGTATGAAAAAAAAAGAAGTTTCATTCTGCGGCTTTTGTAAGCACGTCACGCAGCCTCTCCTCGGTCGTCTCGCCGATAAGTAACCGAAAGTAATACACACCTCCGCGTACGCAAGTTTTCACAACATGTTTTCCACATTAGCGAGCCAGCGCGTATAGCATGAAAAAAGAATGCCGGAAGGGTACGTGATGTCGTCGCGCGAATTCATTTCCGGCGATAGTAGCTCTCGCGAATACTCTTCGCCTGCAGAAGCTCTCGCGAATACTCTCGGCAGAAGAAGGTCGCGCGCGCTTTCTCCGCGCGCTCAATTCCCGCGAGAACGTCCCTAAAATAATCCCGGGCGCAAAACGTGTCGTTATAAAAATTCCATCGTCTCTCCGCCGTGCCAGCGACGGCACGAGGAGAATTTTGTGTTCCTCGTATGCCGACGTTTTTCTCTTCTTCCGGCAGCACTGCACTCACTCACTCTCTCTCTCTTTCTGCGCGCCACCGTCATCGGCGTTCCCACGCGTTAAGCGCGCGCGCGCGGCGCGAGTGGAAGCCGCCTCTCTCTCTCTTTCTCGTAAATCCGACTCTTCATAAATTTTTCATCGAACTTGGAGGAGGCACGTAGCCACCCCACGGTGCATGGCCCCTCGACGAGGAAACCACGCTCGTTCCTATCGATTTCGCGCGCGCGACTCGCTTATGTGTATTCCGCGCGCGCGAGCCGACCGGCCGCGGCGGTGTGACGTGTCACATCCGTTATTCGCAAGTATGTAAATTGATAAATATGGGATGACGGTAACGGCGCTCGTCGACGTTAATTGTACGGGCGGCGTAAAAAGGCGCCGACAGGTCTCGGATAAACGTTACCATCACCACGACGCGAAGCCAGAGCCAACCAGTATGAGGGTAAGGAGCAGAGAGAGCGAGAGAGAGAGAGGAGAAGAGGGCTGACGACGAAGAGAATATACTAGGGCTTCCCAGCGGAACCTTCCGCATCTCTCCCAAAGGACTGACTACGGCTCGCGAAGCCGGACAGTCACGAATAATTAGTTACTGGCAATTGCCCGCGATTCCTTACAAGAAGCAGCTTCGAGCGAGCGAGCAAAGACAGGTTCATCTATACCTCTTGCCTCTCCCTGCCCGATCTTAATTCCCATTATTCAATATTATTGCGATCTTCAGCGAAGTGGGATGTACAGCCACTCAATTCGAGTCGCGCGTACTGCTGCAGCGCACGAAGCATGACTTATTATGAAGGAATCTCACATAATTCGGACGAGTTCTGACAAGTGAATATTGCATGAATATTTAAACGGAATGACGTGTATCGCGTTATTTAAGTGGTAACATCGTCGGATCTTTGTGTCAAATTTTGACAGGTTTCAACCGTAATGTATACACATGTTACGATGTTAGTACAACGAGAAACAGATTTAATTATATTGTATTATATATGAATGATTAATCGCGAAGTAATGCAGCGCGCGCAAACGGTGCTGCAAGAAGTATAAAACATCTCTTTTTCTTTTTTCGGACTAACCTATGAAACATCTGCACCTTCAAATATGCAGTTGTATTATTATACAAGTTTGCGGAGGAAGTCGCGCGTGAAGTGGTCTGAGGGTATCTCGTATAATTTCTGCGTAAAAGGCAACAAAGAATAGCTTCTTTATCTTAGCGCGCCGCGAATCGCAGCGCGAGAGCATTTACGAGCTAAAAGTGAGTCGCCTGTGGGCGCATCTTGGATGGATAACATCCGTTTGGCTTTAATGTAAACGCGGAACTTCGGACGACCGTAACCCCGTTTTCGCTTCCGGGAGTGGGAGGGGGAGGGTTACGGCCGGCGGCCCGATTAAAATTGACCGGCACGCTGCGCCGCGCTGGTATCGGACAGCCGGTATGTGGCGCAACGTGCAACTCGAGAGCGGTCGCAGCAGCAGCAGCAGCAGCAGCCTCGGCAGCAGCACTCGCGCATATTAAATCCGCGGCGCGCGGTACACGATTTAACTCCTCTCGCACAATAGATTCGTTCCGCGCGAGTTGCCGCGTCCCGTAAAATCGAACGCAATCGCTCTACGCCGCGGAAACAATATCTCCCGCGGCTTCTCTCATCCGCGCTTTTTCCGTTCTATCCCTTTCACTCGCTCCCTTTTTCTCTATTCTCGACCTCGGCGCGCCGCAGTTTCCCTCTTGCCCGTCCCACCCGCTCGCGGCCTCTCTTTCGTTTCTCTTTAACATCGCGCCAGTGGCGGGCGACGAGCGCTTTGAACTTTTCCAATTTTCACGCGATGAGATTCAACTACGGCAGCGAATGAGACGTCGGTTGTAATGTATGGGGAAACGATCCTTAGTGGCGTTTGTGGTGACGACGTTACGCTGGCTCTTACGTATTAGCGGGATGATCTCAAAGGAAACGGAACCCGGAGTATTCTCGGGAATTTTAGATATAACGCCAAAAAGCGCGAGAACCGTAATCTTGTTGAAATTAAAAAAAAGTACGGGATACCGGTACGAATGTATGTATATGTATACGCGTATGACGCGTACGCGGAAATTAAAACGACACGCCGCAAAAATGCATATCGCTTGTCCAATCCGTGAACGATCCGCGCGGTGTTTCACAGCAAGTTCGCAAGTTCCTTGCTGGCTGTCGCTATATATATATATATATATATATATGTATATAGGTATGTACAATCGACGGCGCGTACGTTTCGTCCGATTGATAAATGATCAATTCAACGTTTTCGATTTCAGGATGCCGAGGGACGCTGAGAGACACGATCGCACCGTCCATGTAGCCCAGGAGAAATTATCCCAGTTCGACACGTAGGTAAGCAGCGCGATAAACTGACCCGGGCTCTCGGCATGACTTCAAATTCAATTGCCGGCCTGCCACTTAACATGCCACCGGCAACGAACCGCAAATTCTTGCGCCCTCCGCGAGCGCGTGCGCGCGCGCACGGCGCGAATGCGGTAATTCCATTAAGAACGTTCGTTAAGCACGCGGCACGAAAGAAAGATTTCCCGAGGGTACTTAATACCGTAACGAGTTTGTCGTGGCGCGCGGCATGCTGTCGACGACGACGTGAGCGTTCCCGTCCCCTCCCCCCTTCCTGTCCCTTTCTCTGAAAATACCGCCCGTGGAAGAGAACGAGAGGATACGCGCGGTGATGAAAATTTCAAAAGTTCTCAGTTTCCAAATTCGGTATTCTCCGCGGCGGTGTGGATACGCAAGGAAAAAATCTCTTTATGTATGCGTGGCGTTGTACGCTGACAATTGTTAAAAAGCAATTGAATATGCGTCTACATATCCCCGTAAATCAGCTCGTTGCGCTTTTGATCTCCGTCCTGATGAACTCTAATCTAGGAGGGGGCGATACAACACGAGAGCGCGGACCATCGACCGCTTGCTCGCTCGCTCGCTTGCTCGCTTATTCATCCTGCGGTAAGCTTCTCACGGGCCCAGATTTACATTTTGAGGGGGTAGGGGAGCTGGAGGGGGGGAAGGTGGGGACAGGCAGAGGGAGGACACGCATATACGCTTTTCGCAATTGAAATTCAATTTATCAGGGTTTTGCGAGAGCCGCGGTTAACTTTTACGCGGCGCGCGCGCGCGCGCGAGAGCCCGCGAGAAACGGAGAGAACGAATAAATCCGCGCGTGGTTTTACTCTCGGTGATTGACTCGATTGCCGGTGCTTCCGGTTTTATCTGTTGACGCGTACAGGTAAACGCGCGAACGAGATGCTGCCATTTAGCTGAGCCAATTAATTAACCCACGCACCCTGCTGCTCCTTTTTCACTTCGATACGTGTGCGCGCTCCTATTTATACGCTTCGTGTATCGAATATCGAGGTCGCTACCTCGAAATGTAGAGCATTATCTGGTAGTCAAAGTTTATATTTCCGCAAACCACTGCCCCATCCAAATTCCTCGGGATTAAGCGACATGTTTTTTGTATAACGAAGTACGAGTATATATCGTTAATATAATGCAGTCTTCATTTGTCCTCTTTATATCGTTTCGTTTGTGAGTGAAATTTTTATATGAAGCAATTGCGCTCGTACCAGACCGCATGTAAAATATAACTGAATTCCAATCGCGCGCATGCACAAATCTTCGACGCAAAAAAGAAAAGAATTGCCGATTAGTCAGCGCAATTAAATATGTCGGTAGCAATAATGACGATTATACCAATCGCGATTTAATAATATGTATAGTAATTATGTAATACGCATGGCAAATACAATTAATTTGAAATAGCGCTATCGACTCCATGGTCCAGTAATCACGGGAATCGAGATTAGTTGAAATGACATACGGATTATCTCTCACAAAGTAACTCTCAATTCATTATTGTGTATTTAATATCTCACATTTAGCACGCGCTGACGCACCGTTGCGCGGCACATCTCTTCGACACCTAATTTTCATGAAATTTCCACCGTAATGATCACTACGTGCTTCGTAACTGAATATTTCACCGACGCTGCAGGTGATGCACGTGTAGAATAAACGGGGCACAAAAGGAACGACAGAAGAATTTTAAATATATTAGATAACTTACGACTTTAAATATCCAAAGTCACACACGAAAAAAAGAGAAAGAGAAGGAAAAGAGAGAAGGGAAAAGGAGAGAGAGAGAGAGAGAGAGAGAGAGAGAGAGAGAGAAATCGGCAAATGAGCGACCGCACGCGCTGTTTGCAGTAATTCACTGCCGGCGTAATAAGATCGCAATGTACATGAATGCCAAAATTCATTAATATAAAATCTAAATAGCGAAATTCATCGTATATGGTCTCGTCGAAGAGCATCTGATGTCGCGTAAACATGATTGAACAGCGAGAATGGCCGGCTCTCGTGTGATTTCAATTATTCCCGGCGCGCGCACGCGTCCGATTTCGGCGTCGCGCAATTAAGGGAGAAGGGCGCGGTATTGGGAGCTTGAATCGACCACTCCGTGCCTGCACGATGCCAATTACGTCTCTCCGATCGTCTCGGCTCAGCAGAGCGGTCGCTTTCTCCATTTACTTCGGCATGTAGGTGTGCAGCGCCTATACCTACCTATTGCCGCCCGTCGTCTACGATCCCGGTCGATTTACGGTCGAGAGAGAGAGAGAGAGAGAGGAGAGGCAGAGGGAGAGATCGCGAGAGAGCGGAAGAGCGCGCCGACCAGAATTTCATTTCGTCGGAGGTACATTCGGTGTCCTCGGGGAGTCGTCCCGTGCCCGCCCCGCAGCTTTTCCGGCGAATTTAAAGGACGTCCGTCATCTTGACGGATCTCACGCGCCGTCCCTCGGCGCCGTAAAAGTGGATTTAAAGGGATGTACGGCCGTCACGGGGAACACGACGGAAATGTAAACCATATTGTATCGACACGCCGCGCCACGGAGTTTCGTCGCGCCACTTGTCACGGTCTCGCTACTTCGGGGGAGATCTTTCCTCGCCGCCGCGCCGCGCGCTCGTGGGAGAAGCCGTAACTCTGCCGCGGCTCACTCGCTCTCCCCGGGACATCCCGGTGTACAGCCGCGGCTTTACCCCAATCCTTGTAGCCAAGATATAACCGAGAAATTAGGTTCCGCGAATTACGGAGACGCGAATTACGGATGCATTTTTAATGCGCCGATAAATGAAAATACACTCCTCATGTTACCACGTTCATTCTCATCAATTATTTCACGCTTGCGATCGTATCGACAATTCAATTAACTTGAAATTGTAATATGAACATTGAAATAATAGGTATTTTATATTTCCGGGCTGTGTTTTCAGATAATCCGGCCAGGTGGTATTAGTAACTCGGTTTGTATTCGAATACATAATTAAATTTCAAATTAATGGTTAAATGTATTTCTGCATGTCGTTTGATTAATTTGAAATTTAACCTGTCCAGAAGTAAAACATTTTGTTAAATTGTTGCACTGCAGCCAGTTGAAATTATTCGAAAAGCGTAAAAGTATGTGCGGGTTTTTTTTTCATTATTTGAACCCAGGAAAAAAAAGCCCCTCGTACGTCATATAGCGAAGCCTTAATGATTTTCCCGCGGGTTTGCCGTTATCGCGTAGAATTTTTCTCGAACGGTATATCTGAAGGGTAGATTTTTTTCTCATCTCGCGGTCCGTTCGATATTATATTCGTCGGAACGGCGAACGGGTTTTGTAATGATCATGTAACTCGTTAATTCGAAGAACGAGGGGGAAAAGACGCGGAGATACGCTCGAAAATTCGCAAGCACGTCGGACAATCGTGCGGCGATCTTCGTGCGCCGCCGCCGCCGCCGCGCCGGTATTATCATGTGAAATTATGCGGAAAATCGGTCCATCGCCTGCTCCCGGCTCGATCACTCGCCCGTTGACCTTAATATCCGCGACGCCCACCAGGGTGGAAAAGAGGCCGCTCTATCGCGGTTCGATGCTCGAACGGGCCGCCACCGACAATGGGAAGTGCATTGCCAACGGCGCGGGCATGCGATCGAGGATATAGCATGGACATGATATGTGCACGCAGCTGGGTGAAACTCTCACCCTCCCTCCACTCCGTGAGGATGTATGCGCCTTCGTGACCGGGTGGAATCGCACGGCGGATACAGCTTATATTGCATTCGCGACCGCGAGAGTTTCGTGGGGAGGGGAAAGAAGGAAAACCTGCAGTGAGCGGCTCCCGCGAGGCGATATATGCGAAAACGTTATTGTCCAGATAAGGCCGGCGTGCGGTTTTGCTCTCGCGTATACCAGAAGCGGTACGCCAGCGCGGCAGTATGAATACCTGCCCATCTACTCGATTGCCGAAAAAACGAAAAAAAAATAAAAAAAACGAAGGCCGTGTCCGAGAAAGGATCGAACGGTGCGGTATACGATTACTCACCTATACGAGGAAATACGTAGAAGAGGGGGAGAGGTAAGGAGCTTTGAAAGGTTAGCGGGGATGATTGACACGTGCAGGGGCACGAAGGCCTGCATGTACTTCAGGTCCATTTTCAGGAAGTAATTTACAATGGCTGTCACACGGATGATTGGATTCCTCGGTCAGTCGTCGCACTGCGCGCAACAGCTAGTGCGACAAGTCCATGATAGAAAGCGAGAATAAATGATAGGGATGTACAAAAGCTTAGTTTTTATTCTAATTATATTGTAAAAAAGAACCGCTTCCCGCCGTATAGAAGGATGAATACTCGTGTCATTTGTATACAAGTTACTCGTATACCACTCGCGCCAATTGTTTTCACTCGTTTTGCGGTACGTGCACGAGACATGCAGACGTGCGAGGTAAACACAATCGGGGGGAGGAGGGAGGAGGAGAAAATCCCGAAACGCGCGCAAGGCTGCAGCTGGGCTTTCGGTCGTGGCTAGCCGCAGTTGGTGTACATCGATTTCTATAAGTATTTGCATCGGTTTACGCCAAAACGACGATAAAACATTGCCTGCGATGGCGCGCGGTTTAAACGCGCCAAATGAGCCATTAATAGAAAACGCCGGTGAAATTCGTGCCCACCCCGCGTGTTCGGATAGAAATTAATCTATTTAAATTAAAGCGAGCGGGCGAGAGGGGAGGGGGAGGGGGATTCGCTCTGCGAGTGCATGACGTTCCGACCGGTCTCCGGACACCCATAAATTACTTAATTAGCTGTGATCACGGGTGTTTCGCTCGCGCGAAAAAGTTGGATAAATAACGCATATGGTGTGCGGCAAAAATACTTTATTAACAAAAGTACTTTATTAACTCCATGTGAAATCATGATATTCGCTAACGTACTACGGGCTCCGTATGGACGTGACGTGACGTACAAGACCCGCGATTTTTCCCACCGCAAACATTCCGTTTGTTATCGGACG